TAGACATTAAAAGTGTGTGTGTGTGGGGGGGGGGAGGGGGTTTGCAGAACCTCTGGGACTTCCCTTGCTGATTTAAGGCTCAGCAAGTGTGTGTGAGAACCTGCCAAACCCACCAGAGTTCCCTGACCTAATGAGCCTTCCACAACAGTGAATACAAAGTAAGCCATGGTTTGAAAGGGGGACCAGGAAGGGCGGGAAAAGGCCTCTCTGCATACTGGAGCCAGTTAGCATGGTTTTATGGCCTTTCCTAGACACAGAATAGAGCCATTACATAGTAAACCCCAGCTCTGATGCTGGATCTTCTTAAACGACCCTGGCCCTTAAACAGAAGAGGGAAAAAAATCTATATCCCCTGACTGCAATCGGTCCCACAGAGAATCCCTACATGTGTAACACATTCACACACTGGGTCAGGCTCCATGGGTATGTCTCCACGGAATTTCATGGAGTTACAGCAGGGAGATCTTGACCCAGTTTATAACCTGGAGACTGGACGGCCATTGGTCATGGTTGTTCCTGGGCAGTTTGGGGTTCTATGCCAGGAGGCCTCAAAATCTATTTCAAACGTTAACCTGCTCGAGATTAGAGGCCAGCTGTGTTCGGGAAGCACAGAGGTGAGCAAAAAAACAATAGTCACTTCTACAGTGCAAGCAAGCACAGAGGCGATCATAGATATGGATTTATCTTTAGTTCTCTGAGCGAGTCCATTGGCTTTGGACTGAGCCAACAGGGAGTTGTACAGGCTACTGCTTCTAACACAAGCAATAAAGAGGGGCTGGCTCAGTGGTGTTTGGATTGAACCCAGCTGCCTTCAGTTGGTTAGATTTTGTGGAGCACTCATCTGAACCTGGTCCGGGGCAGAGGTCCAAATTCACACCGGTGTCCTCTCCAGACACCAAGGCCGGTATGGCACTGAGGGAGCTATTCACTGAACTTGGAAATGTGGATTCAACTCTGATGTGGATTCAATGTGGATTCAACTCTAACTGGGTCTCCTGTATCATCTTGTCCAAGACACTTAGGGCACGACTACACTACGTGGAAAATCAGTGCTGCCATGGTTGATTTTCAAACTGATGCTCAAACCAGGCATATTTGGTTTTTGCCTCATCCGTACATGACACTGGTGGGGCAAGCAAGTCCAGAGCGAGTACGTGTCCCAGACTACCCAATAGCTGACATGACTTAGATGCCAAACTCTAGGAGACGATTCATGGCTGAGAATGCCAAGTGGAGATAGGAGCCTTCCTCCAGCCCATCAGTCAAGCCCTAAAACCGTGATCAATGGGAATTGGGCACCTAAGTACCATTGCGAATCTGGGCCTTTTCCTTCAGCATTTCCCTTCCAGATTGCTTAAATAACTCTCCACTCATTGTATTGGGGTCTAAGACTCCCTTTTACAGATCCCTAACTCTCCCCGTTGGTTATACAGGGAGCCCAGGCACCTAACTTGGAGCTGTGAAGTTCACCTACAACAGAGCACGAGGTAGTGCAAGGCATAAATCCCCTTAATGGCTCTGGCCCTTAGCCCCTCTGAGTTATAGTGAAATTGGGGTAATAAAACTTCCATGCTTCACAGGGGTGCTGTGAGCTTAAATATATTGAAGAATGCCAAGAACATGAAGTGTTCCACTACACTCTCTAGTCCAGAACTCTCTGGTCCGGCAACATCCATGGCCCGGCATGATTTTAATTAACTGGATGGCCACTTCTCATGGATTTGGCCAAGTTTCCTGTGGTCCCATAAATTTTGTTTAGAGCAACCAGTCCTGGCACTCAGTGTTCTAGCTGTTATTTCGCTCTAATTAATCCCTAAATGTCTTCTAAGAGTCCAGTCAGCAGGGGAAGTGTTGGTAACGCTTCTAGACAATATTCTCTGGTTGGTCAGGTCCCGAGGGTGTCAAACTAGAGAGGTTCAACTTGCACTAGAAATGGACCCATATAAGTGCATAGCTAGGTAGTCCCTGGGAAACTCTTCTGTAGTCATGCTCTCAAGAAAATTACTCTTCCGAATGAACTGATGCCGTCAGTCCACCTGGCCCCTTAATATTTGAAGATTCATCAATACCTCTATGTAGATGGGTTTTCATCCCCAGACTGTATAATTAAACACATGGAAGTTTGTTTTTTTGCAGAGTAGCCACGAAAGCAAAACACCGCTGAGGGCAAACGAAGAGAGACACAGTATTGGGTGAGAGCAATGCTGCCACCTTACAATTTCGCCATGATACTGTAATTTATGCTGTGACCTGCTGATCGACACCCCTCCCACTCCGCATCACTCTTGCGGCAGCATCCACAGCAGCATCAATTCTGATGGAGCTGAATAGCCTCTGTCATTGTCTTGGCCTGCCCTGAGGTGTCTCAGCTCAATACTACCCTTGAATGATGCTCTGTCATTAGGCTATTGTTAGATAATGAAAGGTGTAATTAGCTTTGTTCTGCTGCAAGCTGATCTGGCCCGGTAAGTATTATAAAAGGTAATAAAATAGGTGCCTGGATATAAAAACCTGAATAAGCATATTATTCAGTGTAATTTCACCAGCCAAAAACTGGTGAAAGACCCAGGGTAAGGGAACCTCTGCCGCTTCAAAGGCAGACAACAAGACTTGTTATTAGGAGCCATGCAAAGAGTCCAATCGAGGTATATCAAGGCATCGCCTCAGCCCGTTTTATCAGAGCAGCTTTTCTATAATTGATGGCATTTTGTGGCAATTGATTTCCTCGTATCTTATCGCTCTTGGAGGAGATTGTGAAAGGAGCAGTTTTTTGTTATTGTCAGCAACCATCTAGCACTCACCTTGTCCACAGCACATGCCCAGAGTGGAGCTGCATTCTTGTCTGTGTTTTGTCTGGCCATCGTTTGGGACTTTAGCCGTCTGCTCTATTGGCTCTTGGTAGGAATGAATGCAGTTGATAATATGAAGGTCTTGGCAGGAGAGACACTGAAGCAGACGCCACTGGTGCCAAATTAGTCAGCTCCTAGGACATCACATGGTGTACGTGAGTAATTCTAGCTGAAGAAAGAGGTTTTGCAGTGTTTGTGTGAAGTGACAATACAGTCCATGCAGGACACGAGTCTAGAGGTTCATCTGGTGTAAAGAGGTGATGCTCCATCAAAGCCAATGAACCTATGCAGATTGATGCCAGCAGAGGAGAGGTCCATATTCATGCAGTGATGCGAGGAGGATATCTCCTTCCTATGGGCAGAATTATATACTCAAACTCTCACCATACTCACTGTAGTCTCCATGTCAGAGCAAAATGGCACCTCTTGGTTCCAGGGACATGGGCTTTCCCAACACTAAAACGCGCCTCCCAAGTCCCCAAGCCATTACAAACACACAGAAGCTGCTGTACATTGGATATAAAGCTCTGTAAGAACCATCTGTGGAGAAATAGTGTGTGCTTTGTGGTCACTCATGAAGGTGACCTCATGGCTTCATGATTTTGGATGGGGCAGATTAGTTGCTCCAATACATTTCTGGGGCAAGGTGTGTTGTACCACAAGGGGGCAAATTCTCAGAGCCCAGCTGTGTCCATTGCTTATGCTGCTGGACATTTGTAACCACAGGGACTAATTTTTCATGGAAATCCTTTTGGCTTTACTACAACCAGTTCACCTCACTTTGCCTCCGCGCTCTGTCTAGCCTCCTGATGTCCTTTGTCATAACCCTAGTCTAAGGTCTTGCTATGGGAAGGATGGCCTTTGTTTTACTCATTTGTATAGCACCGAGCATGCTGAGGCCTCAAGTGCCAATCAAGGCCTCTAGGCATTATGGGTGGGAATTACTCTGAGACCCCTGAAGAAAGTGGTAAATCTACCACTGGCAGCTGAGTTACACCAACAGCTCTGAAAATTTGCCCCCTTGTGGTGCATGTATGTTCATCAGTACAACACATCTTGCCCCAGAAACATACTGGAGCAACTAATCTGCCCCAACCAAAGTCATGAAGCCATGAGGTCACCTTCATGAGTGAACACAAAGCACACGCTATTTCTCCACAGACGGTTCTTACAGAACTTTATATACAATGTACGGCATCGCCTGTTTGTTTGTAATGGCTTGGGGACTTTGCACAAGGACAACAGCAGCAATAATCATTCTAATAAAAAGAACACTCTAAAATGCATGCCATGTTTATTCACACTGCCTTACCTCCCAGGGGACTGGGAAATGCAATGGGGATGGGTGGCATGTAGGCACTTAAGATAGAAAGCTCCTCTTAAAAGGTCACTTTCAGAAAGCCAGAATAAAATTTCAGGGGGAAATTAATTATCTATAGAGATAAACATCGGCTTCCTGCAAGATCTCCCTTTATAGGTTTATTCACGTGGGTGGTATTCAGTTTGCAGGATCAGAGGGAATCTATCTATTGCCCTTTTTCCTACAACACCCATCAGTATAGTACCTTATCATTTTCTCTGCTGTCAGAATAACCTGTTTACTTATACTTGTACCCACTAATAGATCCCATGTTACAAGAGATAGGACACTCCACGAAGCTACCAGCCACTTCAAGCCAGACAGAAGGACCAAGCCAACAAATTCACCCTTGCAGCCACAGTCTTGTGCTGGAATCACTGAAGGAAATTCAGTGACCTATGTTGTTCAGGTCTAGGGATGTAAAATCCCATGTAACATTTAACCGGTTAACTGCTTAACTGGGATCCTGGGGGAAGGAGGAAGGGAGGTGCTCTAGCCGGGCCTGGCTCGCCACACTGCTCTGGCCAAGCTGAGCCAAACTTGCTTGGGTTGAGCTGAGCATGCCGCACTGCACTACAGGCAGGGGGCCACTCTGGTGATTTCTGGATGCTTACTGCAACTCATCTGATGAAGTGGTTTTTACGCACAAAAGCTCATGACCCAATACATGTGTTAGTGTCTAAGGTGCCACAGGACTGCTTGTTATTTTTAAAGTTACAGACTAATACAGCTGCCCCTCTGAGACTTTCATGTGTCCTTTGAATGTCTGACAAATTCCTTCCTTCCTTCAGGTCTTGGCATCTACAGAGCCCGACCCTCTCCTTCAGCCAGTATTTGCTTGTAAGGAATTATTGAGATGTGAGGAATTTCCACAGACCCGAACAGCCAGGTAGGATCAAAGTCTGGGAGTGATAAGCACACTGTATATATCTCTGTCTTGTGACAGCAAGGTGAGCAGGAGCGTAAAGACAGAAAACACTGCATTGATATCAAATTTATATCTACTTAAATATTATACTTCAGCTTATTATTATTTATTTGTATTATTGTAGTGCACAGGAGCCTCGGTCAGGGATCAAGACCTGTATGTCCTAGATGTTGGACAAATAAATGGACTTAAGCGCATACTCAGTGTCTTTGATCAGCTGGGCGTAAGGTGTGTACTATCATATAATTGCTTAAAAGCACTACCACACTGTTAATAACAAGATGCGAGTGACAAAACTATACATCAAAGCAAACAATCATTAGTTGTTATGCTATTCCTGCCTTTTAACATTGTCAGACAAAGTAGCAGTCAAAACATTCTCTCGGTGCTGGAAAATCCAGAGGGAAAATACCTTCAGCTCACTCACTTAATGTTCTGAGTCATCACCAGTATTAGTTCTGCATTGTTTAACTTTAAAGGAAACCTGGAGATAATGAGTCAGTGAAATAGCTTTGAGACAGGCAGCGCACGGATTGCAAACTGTATGTGAAATTGCTTTCTACCTGCAACAATAACAGCTTGAAAAATGTTATTGCTTTGGATTCATTATTGCCTTCTCGTGCCAGCAAAGATCACACTCTCTGTTTATAAGCCAGAAATATTTAACAGATTGAAACAGCTAAAAAAAACCCCACAGCATTTATTTAGCAACTTTGTTGATTTGGGCAAAAGATTAGACGGATCTATCTATCTGAACACCAACAGCTTCATGGGGTCACAAGTGGTTTTTCTCTGCATTCTCAGTGGAAGTAATGTCATTTATTCTGCCAGGTACGGGCATTCTAAATCCAGTCCTGCAAAGCTCTTAAGCATGTGCTTAACTTTACTGACATATGCATTCCCATTGAAGTCCATGAGACTACAGGTTGGATCTCCCTGGTCCAGCACCCTCAGAAACTGACCAGTCCCAAACAGGCCACAAACGGGACAAATTGGTGGAGAATGCTGAGCAAGGCTGTAGGGCATGGTGATGTCTGGCACAAGATAAGGTTCATGGTTTATGATAAACGCATGCCCGACTACTTAAGAGGCAACTATACAAAGCCATGATAAGACCAGCACTATGTACGGATCAGAGATATCGGCAACCAAAGAGGCACTTGAGAAGACGTGAAGCCATGGAAATCAGAAGTTTGATGGCAGTGAGGGGGTGACATGACTGGACCCCACGTGAAAAGATCACCAGGAGGAGGACCAAAGTCTGTGTCACTAGAAAGAAACTGCAAGAGCAGATGTTAAGATGGTATAGGCATCTATGAAGGACAGATGAAGGCAGTCCTCTTTTAGTAGGCCCTTGAGACTAGAAGTCTCAGGTAGGCAACGAAAGGATGGCCATGGAAATGGTGGATAGATTATGTACAGGAGGACAGAATGGATACGGAGCAAGGATTGGACCAGGAAGTCTGCAAAAGACAGCCAGTGACCTAGGCCCAGATAGCCGGGGAAAAGGAGAGAAGATTTGCAGTGGTGCAATTAACTGCACAACTGCCAGGATATTGGAGAATCTGGCCTTGGTGACTATGGCAAACAAAAAACCAAATAACATTTGAGATGCCACTATATAGCGAGTAACACGGTTGTATTTTGGCACTGAACAGAAGTACAAAATGGCAGCTACTTCACATCTATCCTTGCACCCAGGAGAGAATTCAATCTAACCAGCTGCCGTATGTAAAATACAGACTGACAACATCGCCTTCCCATTTCTGAGTGGCAGACACCCAGCAAAAATTAAGCCGAAAGGAGTGAGTTATTTCCCAGCACTATTGACCGCATAACTCAGCCAAACATCTGGACCGGTGGTACAAATGGATGGTGCTGCCACAGGCTGGTTCATCTTCTCGCTCTACCCTGCCATTTACACAGATGAGTACTAGCGATTGTCTCCATCTTTTGATATTTGTGTGCTCTGTCATATTCCAAGAGATGGTCATACAGGCCCGTATGCAAGGGGGGTATAAAGAATTCGAACACATCCCCCCCAGGGTCTCACCAGTGCCTGCTCCCTGCCCCCCCCCAGCATCCCAGCTGAACTGCATACCAGCTCCCATGCCCCCACCCCCTTGCAGCACCAGGACTTTCTGATCCTGGAACATCCATGGTCATGCTGGACTGCGGATGTTGCTGGACCAGAGAATCCCAGATTTTAATATTGTCTATAACCGTGTCTAGACTAGGGGTTGTGTTGGTATTTTGGAAATGAAATCACACCCCTGACTGGCATAATTAAGCCAATACTAAATCTGTGTGTATACGAGACCTTACCTGGTCAGCGAGTAACCCTCTTCCCTCTCAGAAACTTTTATTTTTCAAATGAAAAAAGCATACGGGCATAAAAACCATGCCATCCAGTGACCCGACAAAATCCTCAGCGGAGAGGCAACTGTGCTGTTCAGAAGAGTGTTTCTGTTGGCATAGGTAACATTGCACAGGGAGGTGGTGTTCTAGTACCAGCAGAAAAACCGCCAGGTAGGGTGCATGCCTACATTGGCACAGCCAACACAGGCTCAATTAGCATAGACAAACCATGGGAGAAAACAAGTCGCTTTCTGCAAAAATTCTTGTTTTGTCAAAAACCCCAATTTCCCATTAAAAAGAATGTTTTTTGACCAGCTCTGGTCAATATCCAAACTCCTGTTGACTGCAATAGGAGAAGAAGGCGACTTTTTGAACAGCATCTAAAGCAGGGTTTCTCAACTTTTTCGATATCAAAGACCAGCTTGATGCCTTCCTCAACTGGGTTAGGAAGATCTTAGGGATTGGCACCAGTCTACAGACTGGTCATTGAGAAACACTGTTCTCAGGCCTACCAAACAGGGGGAGAACAGGAGGAGGGGAGAAGAGAGCAATTGCTTCAGGGCCCAGAAATTCAAAGGGACCCAGAGCCGCCAGCCACTAACACTGCTATTTTGGTGACAGCTGAAGCTCTGGGACCCTTTGAATTGCCACCAGAATGTCACTCTATGGCTGCGTCTAGATTGGCATGATTTTCTCCAAATGCTTTTAATGGAAAAGTTTTCCATTAAAAGCATTTTCAGAACAGAGCGTCTAGATTGGCACGGACGCTTTTCCGCAAAAGCACTTTTTTCAGAAAAGCATCCGTGCCAATCTAGACGCGCTTTTCCGCAAAAAAGCCCCAATCACCATTTTCACGATCAGGGCTTTTTTGCGGAAAACAAATCTGAGCTGTCTACACTGGCCCTTTTGCGCAAAAGCTTTACACAAAAGGGACTTTTGCCTGAACGGGAGCAGCATAGTATTTCCGCAAGAAGCACTGATTTCTTACAGTAGGAAGTCAGTGTTCTTGCGGAAATTCAAGTGGCCAGTGTAGACAGCTGGCAAGTTTTTCCGGAAAAGCAGCTGATTTTCCAGAAAAACTGGCCAGTCTAGACACATTCCTCGTGGCTCTGAGTGCTGGGGGGTGGGAGGGAAGGGTGCCGTGGTCTGGGCAGTGCTAAGGGCTGACTATGCTCAGTCGTGCCCCTTCCGGGGGGCATGGAACAGCCAGGGGCGGATGAGAGTGCCGCGGGATCCAGGGCAGCGCTGCGGGGCCCCGGGCAGCAAAATTTCACGGGGCCCCCCCTTTGACACAGCGCATGCACCGTGGTGCTAGGGTGCATGCGCGGGGCCTCGGGAAGCGCGGGGCCCGGGGCAGCCGCCCCGCTCGCCCTGCCCTAAATCCACCACTGGGAACAGCCCGCCCACACCTTGCCCCAGGGCCCGTGTGGCTGTTGGCCCCCACTGACTGTTCTAAAGCACATGGCTGCCTCAGCAGTTTTTAGCCAAACAGTATTCTTCAGATTTAAGAAAAAAGAGCTTCTGCGAGGGGGTTCTCAGGTTTTTTTCTACCAACTTGTTGGCTGTGAATTCTGTGGTTAATATTCCAACAGTGGACACTTGCGGCATGATAAACCAGGAAGACAAGACCCGAGTTTTTAAATCTAGTAATAAGGTGAGAGTTAAGAAAGGGCGGCTTCAAATCAGGAGCTTCACATGGACAAGGTTGTTCTGAAAATATTCTACAGAACTCAACAAGCATTTCTAGAGTTAACTGTTACTGAACCCCTACCTGATCGCCAGTATCCTTTCAATATTTCTAAATGCCAATACAAAACACTAGCCAGCCATTTTGTATGAAAAGGCAGGGACAGAGCTTGTCAAACTCAGAAAAAGACCGAAGTGTGGTGAGGGAGCAGCATGAGTTCTGCACTCCCGTTGATATGCCTGACTAACTTCCATTCAGATGAAAACAACCCCAATAAAATCAGAGGGAATTTTCAAACTGACAAGACTGAGGTCAGAAGGAGAGAACAGACCGTTTCAATTTGAAACAATATTGCTCTGCACTTTGAGTAGCCATTGGCAGCTCTAAAAAGGAGATATAAAATGTCACAGGCCCGTACGCGGGTGTGTGTGGGTGTGTGCGAAGGTCCCTCAAGTAAGCATGCTCCAGCTTTCTTCATGTTCTGGAAGGCTGGGGCTCATTCCATCCCCTCCCCATCCCCTCCTCCCCCCAGCAGGAGTGTGGCCCAGCCCTGCCCCCAGCCTCGCTCCTGGGGAAGGGAGGCAGGAAATGAGCCCCAGCCTTCCCCCGGCCGGCTGGAGCATGCTTACTTCGGAAACCATGGGAGGGTGTGTTTGCACTCTTGTAGTCCACAGTTACAAAAAAAACCCCACCTCCTCCCCCCAGGAAATTCCTACGTATGAGCCTGTCATTGAGTTTCAGTACGATGGTCTAAACAGGAGAAATGTAAACCTAGATCCAGCTGCTCATCTCATTTAAAATGGTGTAAATTCAGAGTAAATCCTATGACACAACAGAATGACTCCAGATTTACACATGATCATAATGTCTGAAGGACTCAATCGAGTTATTTGGAAAAATTGAAATTCTTAAGCCACTAAAGAGGAACATATAAGCAGTTTGTGATAGCATGGCTTATACATACAATGTGACTTGGAAGATCCTACTGAACGTCAGAGGTTCACAGAACTAGATACATTCATGGAGATTAGGTCCATCGATGGCTATTAGCCAGGATGGGTAGGAATGGTGTCCCCAGACTCTATTTGTCAGAGGCTGGGCATGGGTGACAGGGGAGGGATCACTTGATGATTGCCTGTTCTGTTCACTCCCTCTGGGGCATCTGGCATTGGCCACTGTCGGCAGACAGGCTACTGGGCTAGATGGACCGTTGGTCTGACCCAGTATGGCCGTTCCTATGGTCACAGCAGTTACAATCCCTGTGGGTATGTCTACACTTCCACCCTATTTCGAAATAGGGATGCAAATGCAGACATTCGAAATTGCAAATGAAGCTGGGATTTAAATATCCCACACTTCATTTGCATAATTGTATTATGGCGCTATTTTGAATTAACAGATGCTGTGTAGACCCTTCTCTCGAAATAACCCTTATTCCTCGTTCAATGAGGTTTAACAGTTATTTCGAGAGAAGGGTTTTCTCTAGAAATAACCGCGTCAACACAGCGTCTGTTAATTCGAAATAGCGCTATCTCAAAATAGCGCCATAACGTGATTATGCAAATGAAGTGCGGGATATTTCAATCCTGGCTTCATTTGCAATTTTGAATTGCTGCATTTGCATCCCTATTTCGAAATAGGGTGCAAGTGTAGACATACCCTGTATGTGCTATCACTTGTCATAATGGTCCTTCTCAGCTTGTCTCGGCCTTTGGGTTTAAGTGCGAACTTCTGCTATATAAGAACCATGTGGCTATCACATGACCTATCCTTTAAAGTCACTGTATGGTAGCATGGATTCCATGCTGAGTGTTGAGTTTTCTGGGCAGGTATCCCTTAGCCCTAGCCCTGCTTTCATTTGCACAGTACAATTACGCCTTTTCCTCATCTTGCCATTTCCTTTCATCTTCCTTCAGCCCATTGTTTCTGCATGGGAAAGC